AGTGTTTGGTGGCAGCGCCTCTTAAAAGAGCTGCAAGGTTTTTGCCACTAACACTGAGTCAGGAAGCCTCTACCAAACAGAGCCTATCTGAAAAAGTGTGGTTACTGAGAAGCTCCAATTGACTCCTGTTTTTGTAGGTCTAGATGCCCTTTTTTTAAGCTTTCCTCAGCTTTATGTGGATGTATGTTTCTGAATGTTGGGTGCCATTTGTAAACAGAGATTGTGCTTTCATTTCCCAGCTGCCCAAACCCAAATAATCACACAGAAACTTTATTAATTACAACACTGTTTGGTCAATGACTTAAATGTATTTCTAGCTAGCTCTTACATCTTAACCCATTTCTATTAATCTATGTATTGCCACGAGGCTGTGGCTTACTGGTACTGTCCTGGCATCTTTCTCCTTTGGTGACTACATGGTGTCTGCTCAACTCCACCTGCTCTGTCTCTGTATCTCTGTTTGGACTTCCCGTCTAGCTGTGCTCTGCTAAGCCCTTGGCCGAAACAGCTTTACTCATCAACCAATACAAGCAGCACATATACAGAAGGACATCCCACATCAAGCCTAAGTGACAGTGGAGATTTTTTTAAAGATTTTCTTTCTTGGGGCTGGAGAGATGGCTTGGTGGTTAAGAGCATTTACTGCTCTTCCAGAGGAACCGGGTTCAGTTCCCAGTACCTACATGGCAGCTCAGCCCTCACAGCTCACAACGAACAGTCTAACTCCAGCTTCAGGGAATCTGACATTCTGATCTGGACTCTGGGGACACTGCATATATGCACACAGATATACATATGATGCACATATAAAAATAAATAAATACTTTTATTATTTGTTTTAATTTTTAGGTTTTATTTTATGAGTATGAATATTTTTGCCTACACATATGTTTGTGCACCAAGTATGTGCCTGGTGCCTACAGAGGTCAGAAGAGGGTGTCAGATCCCTTAGAATTGGAGTTATGGATGGTTGTGAGTGCTGGGAATTGAACCCTGGTTTTCTGAGAGCATCAAGTACTCTTAACCACTGAGCCATTTCTCCAGCCCCTAAATCCCATCTTTCTTTTTGGGAAGTATAGGCATGGGTGTGCCAATGTAGGCCAAAGAGCAACCTTCGAGAATTGCTTTTTTCCTTCCATCATGTGGGTCCTTGAGATTGAACTCAGAGTCAGGCTTGCCCCAAGCACTAAGCCACCTTACCAGCCCTATTTACTTTGTTTTAAGAGACCCATCTTACAGATTTAGGAACTTATTGGATACCCTAATACATTTTTAAATAGCTTACTTTTGACTGGTGGTGGTGTAAGTTTATAATCCTACCTACTCAAGAGACTGAGGCAGGAGGATCACAAGTTCAGTGACAACCTGGAAAACCAAAAGGATCCTTATCTCTAGAAAACTAGAATAAGATATCCTACTTTGTGGATTTGTTATCTATGACTTTCCGCTTCTTACTGTTGTTAGCCTTAGTTCATACTCAGCAGCAGCACTTGTTTTATAGGGAATATGTATGTAATACCTACTGTGCATAAAATCTCTCTTACTGAGGCTTTCTCAGAATTTGAGGGGTGCTTCATAAATGTAGAAGTTTTACTAATACTTAATTTTTGAAAAAAAAATTTTCTTTTCAAGGCAGGGTTTCTCTGTGTAACAGTCTTGGGTATCCTGGAACTTGCTTTGTTCCCCAGGCTGCCTCAAACTCACAGAGATCTGCGTGCTTCTGCCTTTTTTGAAAAATATTTTATGTTGTAAGTGTTTTACCTACATGTATGTAAGTGCAGTGTGTCCATACCTGTCGCTTGCGGAGGCCAGAAGAGGGTGTTGGTCCTTTGGAACTGATGGTTGTGAGCTGCCATGTGGGTGTAGGAACTGAACCTGGGTCCTCTGCAAGAGCAGCAAGTGCTGTTGGCTCTTTCTTACTCCTTTGCTCTTTTAGGGGGCCGCCACCCAGTTCCCAGATAAATCAAGCACAGGGGCTTATTCTTTCTTATAAAGCCTGGCCTTGGCTCGACTTGTTTCTAGTGAGCAGTTCTCCACTTAAATTACCCAACTACCCTTTGCCTCTGGGCTTTTCCCCTTTGTTGCTTCTGTAATCTTACTTTCCCTCTTCCCCATGGCTGACTGTAGCTGGGTGGCTGGCCCCAGGGGTCCTCCTTATCCTGCTCCTAATCTTCCATCCTCTCAGATTTCTCGTCCTGTTTATTCCCTCTGCCTGCCAGCCCTGCCTATCCTTTCCTACCAAGCTATTGGCCGTCAGCTCTTTATTACACCAATCAGGTGTATTAGACAGACAACTTCACGAAGTTAAACAAATGCAGCATAAAAGAATGCAACACATCTTTGCCTCATTAAATAAATGCCCACAGCAGAAATAAATGTAACACATCTTAAATTAATATTTCACAACAAACAAGTTTTTGTTTTGTTTTTTGGGGTTTTTTGTTGTTGTTGTTGTTGTTTGTTTGTTTGTTTTTTGAGACAGGGTTTCTCTGTAGCTTTAGAGCTTGTCCTGGAACTAGCCCTTGTAAACCAGGCTGGCCTCAAACTCACAGAGATCTGCCTGCCTCTGCCTCCCAAGTACTAGGATTAAAAGTGTGCGCCACCATCGCCTGGCATTGTTTTGGTTTTTTTCCAGTTTTTCGAGAGAGAATAAGACAGGGTTTTTCTGTGTATCCCTGACTGTCCTGGAACTTGCTCTATAGACCAAACTGGCCTGAATTCAGAGATGCGCCTGCCTCTGCCTCCTGAGAGGCATGTGCCACCCCCACCCCCCTGAACAGCTAATGCTCTTGACAACTGAGCCGTCTCTCCAGCTTCTAATTAATTATTACTGTTTTTGCTTGTTTTTCAAGATAAGGTCTCTACATAGCAGCTCTTGCTGAACTGGAATTTAATACAGACCAGGCTGGCCTCAAACTCAGAAATCCATCTGCCTCTGTCTCCCAAGCGATGGGATCAGAGGTATGTGCAACTGTGTCCAGCTTAATTAATTAATTTTTGAGACAGGTTTTCAAACTTGTGAAGTAGAAGATGACTTTGGACCTCAGTCCTCCATATTATAGACATGTGCCACCAAACTCAATTCTGTGCAGTGCTGGGGACAGAATACATGGTTTCAAGCATGTAGAGGCCAGCTAAGCTATATCCCCAGCCCTAAATGTAGAATTTCTAACATTTTGTATGCACTTATCTATTTTGTGTGGGTGTGTATGTACCTAAGTATGTATATATGTATGCATGCGTGCTGTGGCTCATGTGTGGAGGTCAGAGGACAATTTGTTAGAGTTGCTAGTTCTCTCCTTCCACTGTATGGGCTCAGGTCACTGGGTTCAAGCAAGCACCCTTTCATCTCACCGTCCGTTGCTCCTCTCTCTCTCTCTCTCTCTCTCTCTCTCTCTCTCTCTCTCTTTCTCTCTCTCTATGTATGTATGTATGTTTAAAATTTGTTTTGTAATAACTAAACTTGGATCCTCCAGCCTGCCAGGTAAATGATTTACCATTGAGCCATATTCCCATTCCCTCTTTAAGTTGCTAGAGCTGTACTCAAACTCATTTTATAGTCAGGCAGATCTTGAATTTATAATCTTTGAGCTTCAGCTTCCGAGAAAGCTAGGTTTACAGGTCCACACCACCTGGTAAAACTAAGGCTGACCTCTAGCCAGGCGGTGGTGGCACACATCTTTAACCCCAGCACTCGGGAGGCAGAGGCAGGCTGATCTCTGTGAGTTCTAGACCAGCCTGGTCTACAAGTGCTACTTCCAGGACAGTCAGGGCTGTTACACTGAGAAACCCTATCTCAAAAAAGAAAAACAAAGAAACAAAACAATAACAACAACAAAAACAAAAACCTAAGGCTCACCTCGAACTACTTTGTATACCAGACTAAGTTCAAATTCTCATCTGCTTCAGCCTACAGAGTGCTGAGATTACAAATGTGCTTCTCAGTACCTGCCAAACAGAGCTGAGCATCTGGTATACTCTGCTTCAACCACATTTTCTCTATTTTAGCATCTCTCAAAGATTATTTTATTCTGTTATTAATGGCAAGGACGATTTTTTCTATATCTAATGTTTTTTTTTCTATATCTAATTTATCTTTGAAATGCTAACATCATTTGCTTGCTTGCTTTGTTAGTTTGGAGATTGTTTTTTGGGGCGGTTGTTTTGTTTTGTTGTTTTGAGACAAGGTCTCTTTACATCACCCTGCCTGGCTTAGAACTCAATATGTAACCTGATCTGGTCTTGAATTCACAGAAAGCTACTTGCCTTTGCCTTCTGAGTGTTGTGATTACGTTATGTGTATTAGTGTTTGTTTGCATGTATGTATATGCACTGCATGCACACAGTGCCTGCAGAAGACACTGTTAGAGACCCAGAAACTATAGTTACAGTTGGTTGTGAACCGTTGTTTGGGAACTGGGAACTATTCCCAGCAGCAAATGCTCTTACCGGTGGAGCCATCTTTCCATCTGCTGAGGTTCTTACTTTCTGAGTGAGATTGTTGTAAGAATTAACTGAAAGCATGCATCTAAAACAAGGTGAGGGCCAGTGGAATGGCTTAGTAGGTAAACTTTAGTTCAGTCTTTGGAACCCTATTAAATCTGGATGAAAGAACACACCCTATAAAGTAGTCTTGATTTCCACAAGTGTGCTGTGGCAAGTATGCCCACATGCACAAGCATACACACAAGAGTGTACACAAAAACATACACACACATTTTTTTAATGTAATGATAAAGGGGTGAAGGGTAGATTTGGGAGGAGTTGGTAAATATGGTCAAAATATATGTGTATATGAAGTTCTCAGAAGTTAATAAAATAACTACATTAAAAAATTAAAACAGATAGGCATAGTGGAGCAGGTCTTTAGTCTCAGCACTTGGGAGGCAGAGGCAGGTGGATCTCTGAATTCGAGGCCAACCTGGTCTACAGAGTGAGTTCCAGGACAACTGGGCCTGTTACACAGAAAAACCCTGTCTCGAAAAACAAAGCTTAAAACAGTGCTCACTTCAGCAACACAGATTATAAGTTGGAATGATACACAGAAGATCAGCATGGCCTCTGCACAAGGCTGTCAAGCAAATTTATGAAACATTCCATTTTTTTTTCCTCCTTCTGCCTTCCAGCACCTCTGGATGTATGGATTTTGTAAGGCTAGCTAAACTTGTTACCGTTTTCCCGTGGAGCAAAGGCATTAGAGGCGAAGATACAGAGCGTTGCTCCAGCTCCCTCCCTCCATAGCCGACACTGTCTGCTTTTCCTGCAGCTCAGGTTTTGGTCTTAGGCGTTGCTGCAGGAAAGGAAAGAGGGGGAAGGAGTTGCACAGATAGACTTCAGCCAAATTGGCTGGCTTCTTAGGAGTCATTTTCCTAAGCTTTTTTGACTGGTACATTTAAAGTTCCCCAACTCTAGGGTGGTGCCAGTTCTGGGCAAGTGCCACTGCATCCCAGAATGCTCAGAGGGCCGAGCTTCTTAACCCTGAAGATGAAGTTCACTGTTGGTCACTGCCAGGTCTGACTGGTGTTTTAAGGATATTGGTGCATCATGTAGGAACTGTATTATTAACCCATTCAACCTGTAATTGGTGATGTTTTCCTATCATTTTAAGAGACTAATATGTAGTGGGGGGGGTTGTAAAAGATACTTGTACAATTTTAAATATCATAATTAAGTGTAAGCTGGTTTTCCACAAAAAATACATACATTAAAAAGGCTCAGTAATATTAGCAGTTTAAATTTTTGATTTTGACTTTGAGACAAGTTCTTAGTCATGCTGGTCTTGAACTTGACATGTAGACGAAGCTGGCCTTGTTCCTGATTCTCCTGGCTCCACCTCTGGAGTGCTGGACTGCAGGCCTATGCTGCCACAACGGAGCACATCCGACTGAACGACCGAAATTGTCGCGGTGAATGAATTTCTGTGTTTGTCTGTTATTTCTTTCATCCTGTAGAAGTCATTGTAATTACAACCAAAGATGTCCAAAAGGCTCTCTGCACGGAATTCAAGATGAAGATGAAAGTAGATACTGTGTGCATTCCTGATGAGGCTGACATGGGGACCGCAGATTCTCTGCGCCACATATATCCAAAACTTAAGGTAAAAAGCTATTTCTTGACTTTTATTTGTATTGAAGATGAATAATGTATTGTTTGGCAGTGCTTTATAGTTTACAAAAAACAGGATCTCACTATGTAGCGCTGGCTGGCCTAGAACTTGCAGTGTAGGTCAGGCTGGCCGAAAACTCACAAGAGCTCTGCCTGCTTCTGCCTCCCAAGTGCTGGAATTAAAGGTATGTGCCATCATACTTGGCCTTAATTTTTAAGACTTAAAAAATATACTTTATTTTTGTTTTTTTTTTTTTGAAACAGTTTCATGTCGTTGAGGATGATCTTAAGCTCTTGATTCTCGTCTCTACTTCCCAAGTGCTGTGATTACAGGCTTGTACCAACAAACCTAGTTTAATATATCTTCATATCACATTAATTGTTGCCCATTTACTCTTGAACTGCTCTTTGGTTTGGTTACTAGTAAGGATTTAGAAATTTAGTCAACATAGTCCGCTTTCCAAGTGATAATATATCCATTTTTGGATATGTTTATAGCCTCACTTTGTAGTCCAGCCTGGACTGGAATTCTCAATGGTCCAGGCTTGCGTTAAATTCATAGTGATCATCCTGTCTCAGCCTCCCAAATTCAGGGATTGAAAGTATGCACCTGGCTTACAATAAAATATTTGGGCCGGGCGGTGGTGGCGCACGCCTTTAACATTTAATCCCAGCACTCGGGAGGCAGAGGCAGGTGGATCTCTGTGAGTTCGAGACCAGCTTGGTCTACAAGAGCTAGTTCCAGGATAGGTCCCAAAGCCACAGAGAAACCCTGTCTCGAAAAAAAGCCAAAAAATAAAAAATAAACAAAATAAAATAAAAATTAAAAAAATAAAATCTTTGGCCAGGCAGAGGTGTATCTCTGAGTTAAGAGTCCAGTCTGGTCCACAGAGAGTTCTAGGATATCTTAGGGCTATTACACAGAGAAACCCTACCTCAGTAAACAACAATAAGAACAATAACCAAAAGACAAAAGCAAGCACAATTCGTGTGTGTGTGTGTCTATGTGAAAGTCAAAGGAGAGCTCAATGTTGCGGGTCCTCCGGTGCCGCCTTAGTGAGGCAGGACTCAGACTTATGCTGCTGCGCTGCTTCCCTCAGGCCGACAGGCTGGGAGCATCGCTCAAGTGCGGGGATTTCTGGCTTCTGCATCTGTCACTGCATCTGTCGGGCTTTTTATGTGGGCTCCAACCACCAAACCCAGGTCTGGCTTCTGAGGGTAGCGTTTTAACCCCGGTGTCTCCGTAGCGCTGTTCTGCTTTGTTTTGGGATAGATGGTCTTCTTACATTCAGGCTTTCTTCCAAGCTGCCATCCTACGGCATCAGCCTCCTGAGGGCTGGAGCCTGTATCACTCTACCCGACTGCCTCACTTTCAAAGTCACTTATATTCTGTGTTTATTATTAACTGCCCTCTGTCTTTCCAAAAGGAGCACCGTTTCCTATGTGATGATCGTCTCGAGAACCGTCCCTCCCTCCTCTTCTAGCCGCACCCTGGGCCTGCGCAGAACTGCTCTGGGCTGGGCTTTGCGGCTGACAGTCTCCTCCTCTTTCCTGTGTTGCCTGCCCTTGTGTCTAGGTTTCATTCCCACCGTTCTTGGTTTATTCCCATATTTCCGAGGAACCTAGGTCTTATTGGCTTAAAAAAGAAAAATACATGAAAGATAAATGTTCTGAGAATTTTCATGCTCTTGAGTGATGACTTAGATTTTATAGTATTCTGAGTTAGTTATATTTTTTTCAATTTTTTTTACACTAAACACCAATAGTAAAAGAAAGATTTCCTTGATATCTTTGCCTCTTCCCCAGTCTCCCTTCCTCTGAGGCCTCCTCTATGCTGGTGCTTCTTACTTCAGACTCGGCCTCACAGCAACTTCTGACCAAGCCTGTGACTCTTCTAATCCTTAAAAACCCCAGTGAAGACAGCCAAGGGTTCAGCTCATTTTCCAGAATTTTTAGATGATCCAATCCACCACCAACACCAGAATCCTCCACACTGAGTATTTTAAGTGCAGTTTCCTTTACCCCACCGCCACCCCATGTACTTCCGTCTCCGGTTTACAGATGGGCAAAGTATGTCTCAGAAACTAGAGCTTCGCCCGGCGTGTGGGGAGGAAGAGTGTGCGTTGGGTGCCAGTCTCCGTTGATGTCTTGAGTGACCAAAGCATTGAAAATACTATGTCTTCTGGGTATAGCCAGATGCGCATGACTCAGTGAAAACTGTGGTTTTACTTGAGAGTACAGTAGTGGAGTGGCTGGGAAGCCATAAGAAGTCAGGCGTGTACTAGGCGCCCTCTAGAGGAGTATTAGGAAATGCTTGCCTACATGGGCTTCCTGAGTTAGGAAAGCTTCGTGAGCTAACGAATTAGGAAGCTTTACTTCTAATTGCAGAAAGAGTAGGTGTTTGTAATGGTGAAGATGTGAGGAGTGAGAATAGGATAGAATAACTCCATTTTAACAGTTGAGGAATTACTATAAAGATTAAATACCAAGGGTTATTTTAAACTTCCCTCAGAATAACCTTAAACTGAACCTTAAATCTGAAACTTTCACTTTTATACATGTTTTTATTTGTTGGAAATTTACCAAGAGAATACATATCAGTAAAATAACAATACATTTTACCCAAGATGATAGCCTAATTACAGTTTGATTTCTTTTTCTCTTGTTTTTTGTTTGTTTGGTTGGTTGGTTGGTTTTAGTTTTTGGTTTGGGGTGGGGGTTTGCTTGTTTGTTTTTGTTTTTTTGGCACAGGGTTTCTCTATGTAGCCCTGACTGTCCTGGAACTCACAATGTAGATGTTCAATGCCCTTGAACTCAGAGTGCTGGGATTTACGGTGTGTGCCACCACTGCCCAGCTCCCTTCCTTTAAAAACAAGGTCTTGCTATCTTGCCCTGGCTAACCTGGGACTCAATGTGGAGACCAAGCTGGTTTCAAATATGTGGTGATCCTGTCTCTGACTCCCACGTGCTGGGATTTCAGACATGCACCACCATACCTGGTAAGGTTTAATTTAAAAACAAAAATTAAAAAAAGAAAAAGAACTGTTTCAGGGAGAAAGGTCCAGCAGGTGGGAATGGGTCTCGGTGGGGACTGAAAACAAAGGCCTGCATTCTGATAACAGCTAATTGTTCCCATGTACGAAAGGGGGGTGAAAACAACAGAGACCTGTATTGTGGTAATAGCAAATTATTCACACGTCTCTGCCTGGAACCTGCCTGAGCACTTCTGAGGATACTTAAATTTCATATCAGTATGTCTGAGAAAGTAATTCATTACCTTAGAAATTTAATACCTGTTCTTAGAGATTGCCCTGAAGTAGAATTAATTTATTAGCCTATTATGGTCACAAGGATATAAAGTTTATTTTCCACAGGACTAACCAGAACATTTATTCTGAAGATCTCAAGAGAGAGTATTCATACCTAGTAATATATCTGGATTTCTAATCCACACAGCCACCTTAAAGATAGATAACATGAGTTTGCTTTATCATGGAGAAACTTGACCTTCTCTCTTGAGAGAATTTAAATAAATACTCCAAAGTACGTTCCTGCCTGAGTCTGATCCAAAATTAGACCCTGTCCTTGAGAGGGCTTTGCTTTTGCCTTTGAGTTTTGATCCTGTCATTAGCCCAGGCTAGCTAGCCTCTGACTCTCAGCCTTCTGAGTGCAGTTCCATGCCTGACACTATCCCTGAGTTATACACTTGTACCCATTGCTTCTACTTCCCAAAGTGTAAATTTCATTTTCAAATTAGCAGTCTAACTGGGCGGTAGTGACTCATTCCTTTAATTTCAGCACTCAGGAGGCAGACGCAAGTGGATCTCTGTGAGTTCAAGACTAGCCTAGTCCACAGAACGAGTTCCAGGACAGGCTCCAAAACTACATAGAGAAACCCTGTCTTGGGGGGAAAAAAAAAACAAATTAATTAATTAATAAAAATTAGCAGTCTCAAGGTGGCACATGCCTTTAATCCCAAGCAGGCGGATCTCTGTGAGTTT